AACCCGAAATTTCGCTCAATAAACGTTTAGACAAGTTCTCTAAAATGAATAATTGCCACAATCAACCATTTCCAGAGAAATTACATATCTAAAATTATCACATTTTGAAAAAATTCGAACGAAATTACTCTTTGAAAATATCTCAATGACAGAACACGGCCTGTTTGACTTGTACTTCTACGCACTTGATTGACATGTTAAATTAATAAACAAAAAATTCTGTCCAACCGTTCATTTTCTTATCAATATAATATGTTAATTTAGAGGATTTCAAGTGCTAGTAGTGAAAAAAATAGTATATATACCACGGTAGAGAAGTCTATTATTGCCTTCGCACCTTACATCCCTCGGCGCAAGCGCCTCGAGATGTAATCTTGGTGCTCAGGCAATAATACTGTACTTCTCTACCTTGATATATAATGTACTATTATTATACCTGAATCACAATCTCCGTTTTAAACACTCAAATGCGTGCGAAAAAGGGCCTTTAAAACACACGTGCTTTAAAGTTGCTAAGTAACGATACTTCAAGTATGACTTTTGAAACTGTCATCTGAATGAAATAAAAAATCCTCTTAGCTCGCTTTCTGTAAATGCAGAACATTTATTTGGCTTTTGTACCTATCCTTTGGTTGAAGCTTTCACAAACGCGCGTAATTTAGGGTATGCTTCCAAATCTGTTCCACTTTTTAATCGCAGCATTGCTTTAAAGTTTTGAATGAATGCACCAAAATATAGAAGATTTAAATACCTTTGACATTTCCTTCATATATGCCAGCATTATGGATGCATTTAAGAATGTATTCGTAAGTAACTTCCTATTCATCCATGGAAACAACTTTTCATATTCTTTATAATAGGCTCTACTGGAGTTGAATTTTACACCTACCAACGTTTGTTTAGATTTTACAACAATCGATTTAATGGACGGTGTATTATCTTTTTCAACGGAAATCTTTTAATTCACAAAGACGATGATTTTTATAAGCAAACGTCAAATGACATTTCCATGGCAATCGTGAAATTACGAACACCCAGCCCACTTAATTAGACATGTATTCGAGTATAACGTCAATATGACTTCATTGTATTTCCTATTTTTAAATTATACTGCAGGTATAATAAAAAATACTATAAGATACACGTGTATAATTGGTCTTTAAAGCACTTGCAACGTTAAAGGCACTCCGCTTTGCGTCGTGCCCTTAAACTCGTTGCGCGTGCTTTAAAGACTTGATTATACACTTGTATCTTAATATACTATTTAGCGCATTTTTGAAAAAAATACGCTATTATATTCGTCATTGCTGGCAGGCCGGCTGTCCGCGTTAGATCTCCACAACTACAATAGCTAGAGACTTCAAATTTTCACTAAAAGCTTTCTGCTATAGTGTAGATGTGCAGGCACTAGTCTATTTTGAGTTAGATTACTTGTGAGATCGATAATTGAAGAAAATAATTTCGATATGGGTTTCGTAGGTGCTATAATTTTACCGTTAGATAGCGCTACCAGTATAAAAACTTATTATTTACTTTGTGATTTGTTTTACAAAATGAAGACGTACCGTCAATTGAAATTAAATAAAATTAATTATTTAACGCAGCCAAAATTACTCGTGAGATCGATAATTTTAAACTTCGCTAATAAAATACTGACCTGCATTACCAAAAATGCGCTTTAATCATGCATATGCTGATTTACAACTTGTTTCAAATATATGCATTATCATAATAGGTGGAAATAATATCTTTAAGTACCGCCGTAGGAAATACTGTCGGATTTCCAAATTGGTGCTGTAGGTACTCCCATTACAACGGCTGTTATTTACGAAAATCGATTTTTCTATTTATCGATCTTCCTAAAAAACTAAGACCGATATTACAACTTTTTTTAAGTACCGCCGTTCTTTTAATCATTGCAAAGAATATCCACTATCGCGAATTTGTTAGACTGCAACTACATAAGCAGCATTTCATAAGAAAGTTTAGCTATTTTTGCAATATGGCGGATTGACTACAGAGGAGCCTTAAGTAGGAACCTATGTTTTCTTTTCTATAGTTGTTCCTTCATGCACCTATATTGATGTGCTATAAACTTAACAATTTTGTTCAATTATTTGGGTATTTGCCTGTTTGAACAAAAAATGCTATTATTATTATTATTCAAACAAATGTAGTAATTATACAATTCGCTTGTTTCGAAAATCAGTGTGTAATCAAACGTTATATCAAGGAGCGTCGAAAATAAAAAATACCGTTGAAACTCTGGTCGCGGACTTTTGAGCTCAGAAGGACGCTTTTCTGCATTTTATTGAAGACGCACGCCCTTTCTTTCCTTCCTGTTGAATTTTTTTTCTGTCAAGACTTCTTTAAATCCAGTAGCACGTACTGTTTAAATAACAGGAGTTCTTTGTACCTACTCTTCATCTAAAAGTGTGTTCGCTTGCTCCAGTATTGTTTGTACCTCAATATGTTATTAAGTACATATTACACCATTTGATCATAATTTCATAACGATAAAAAATCATATAAAAGATTAACGTGGTTGAAATAATTTTAATTAATCTTTACAGAGGTTTGAAAACGGACGCACTAACAATATACTTCTCTTATTTGCGGTTTTCTTCTGCAATTGGACACGGCAAATAAAATTTACCTTACCAATAACTGACACGAGACCGCAGAGGAATCGTCCTGTAGAGACCCTAAGATTGAGAACCTGGGATCGCTTATCAATTTCCGAAAAGTTAAGATTTGGATATCGATCGAATTTGAGAATCGAACGGCAAAAGAGGAACTCATAGCAATAATAAAAACATCTCTGCATTGTCCTTTTTATATTACCACATAATAGTAGCGCACAACACATGCGGCTATTTGGAATTGTTCAAAACCGCTTCCTTTTCCTTCTCCACTCACACAGCAGCAAACACAGTAGGAGACCTGACATCTATAGGCGTCGCCAGGCTGGTGACTTGGCACTGTATCTAGTTTTAAGTTAGCTAATCCCAGCTTTCATTTGTCAGTACACACGGCTATTAAACACTTATAATGTTACTTTAGAAAACAAACATCCCCACATATCCCTTTATTATCTATGCTAATATTTTTTCCCTTCAATTTTGTTCGCTCGGCATCCATATCTTTTGAGTCTATTAGATCGCACAACGTCACAATTTATTAGTACTTACTTGTTTACGGCATCGACTTTAATGAATAATGACCATACAAACATACCCTTAGTGCGAATGAAATAAATAAAAGAATGTATATAAAATTGTCTCTCAGTTCATCAGCTGATGTAAATTAATTTATCATTATTTTAGTGGGGATGTATCTCATTTTCGTTCCACAGCAGTATAAATATTATTTATGACAAATGATAATTTTGCTCTTATTCAATTACCTAATAATGTCTTTGTTTTGGTATTTATTTATAGCGCATCTTTTTAAAAATGAAATGCTGTAAATTTGACGAGGAATTTTGTATAAATATTAAATATGTTTATCACATGATAATTCGATCGATACTATATTGTTGAGGCACTTCCTAGAAATTAATTGAAAGATGGAAATAAAAAATCAAACGAGCTTTGATTTGGTTTAATTTCCATTCGTGAATGTACTTTTTTTTGTGCCAATGTTCAATGAAGCATGTACTTTTCCAATAAAAAAAATGTTAATATGTCATGCATGAATTACCGCACAAAAAATGTGCACTTATGTACCCATTCAAAGTGAGTGATGGATATGGATTTTATTTGTACCCTGTCCCAAGTGTATTACCGTTGCCATAAGTTGACAATCTCTTTGTTTTAAAACTGAATTTAAAGTTCTAACGTGTACCTTTTATCTCTAAAACGTAATTTGCGATCAGTCATAGGTATATCTCCTTTTTAATGATGTCACGTTCTTAATAGAGCAATTAACAAGTGGTAATGACGAAGCTCTGCTTCCGCTAGGAAATGAGATACAGTTCACACGTCATTTACTTTTAACTTACTCATTAAACCTGCTGATACTTATTTCGTTTCATCCCTTTATTTAAATCCTAAATAAGCATTCTCCTCTACATTTTGGCATCATCAATTTCCGCTTGTGTTCATTTGGAAACGGCAGATAATCCCGCCCCACTTGCCTAATGGTTTTGCTGTATCACCATGAACTTTCATTGAAAGGTGATATTGCCGTTTTTAATTTACGGGTTTATACTGTCATACTTTATTCGGCTATTGTAAAATGTTAGTCTTGTAGTACTTTTTTTGCACTCGGTCGGTAGAAAAATGGATATTTTGTTAGGGATGGCTACGAAAACAATTAATAATTGTTGTTTGTATCTTATTGACGGCATCTTTTGCAATCAGGATTTTGTGTTAGAGTAATTGTCTTAATTGCAATTTCAGGTATTTATTTAATTGACTTGGATGCCGAATACCTTCAAAAGCGATTCAAATCATGGCATATTATATTATTAAAACTCGTGATCGTAAAATTGCATAGACATTGTTAAGGGGGCCACTTAGCTTAAGAGCGTGGAAAAGTCGTATTCTCTATGCGTCTGCATTTTGTAAAATTCGTGACCGCTAATGAGGAGAGAAGTAAAGATTTACAAAGATGTTCGTACATTCTCACTTCAAAAACGTTTCATCTCGTGAACTCGTAAGTTTATAAAAATCAACATTGTTAACATCAAATCAATATTCTTTAACAAATAGAGATTGATGCGAACTTCAAAGCTTTACGGAAAACGGTTTGCCTTATGGGATGAAAATTGTATTTTTAGGAGTTTGAACGACTTTTCCATAATAGCATTTGATTTCTTATCAATCACTTTTTTTTAACTTGACGCCGATATTTCCCAGAAAATATATTGAGGTTTTTAAGCGACGATAAAAAAAACTCTTTTGATGCTTATAGCAGCAGCTAGTTCTTGCTAGTTTGTTTCTTGTATATGTACGCTTTCGCTTCGAAATAATGTTAATCAAACGTTCTTGTTTCAGGCCCACTCACCCCTACTCGGCTCCGGGGATAGTAAACATGTAAGTAAAACATTCAGATTCCCTTTTAGTTATTTAAAATAGGTCAGAACCATTTCGTAATTTGTACTCGTATTATGAAACATCCGCCTTTATCGTGTTACAGCTTTCCTTTGTTCCTGTTTAAATTTCCTTAAAAATTCTTGGTTGACTTTCACTGTTATCTCTCTGAACGATTTGATATAGCAATTCGCTGACGACATTTACTGGAAGTAAATTGTGGTGCAATAAGGATGAACATTTCTATTTATGATTATTGCTTGTACGTGAAATTTTAACTGTACCAGAGATGGTGTAGGGAGAAATTTTGATAATACATATTAATGTCTTTATTGCGCCGTCAGAGAAACCTAGCAAAATGTCTACCTCGAGGTCTACCTTCTACATATAAAAATCACTGGTTTCAATTCCTATTCTTTTGTTGACAAACGTGATAGTGATCTGTCTTTCATCGTTTGATACACGAAATTCGTCATGCGTGAATAGGTAGGCGATTGAATAAAAAATATGCTTTAGTTTTTCATGGAATAATTCCCGCCTGTTTAGTTTTTGTTTACCAAAACCTCTCTATTCCGGAACATATTCTAAACTGGATTGAGAAGAGAAGAATTTGACAAAATATTGCAAGACATTTTTTGGGAGGTATTAGTTATTCATTTTAGAAAGCTCGAGAAAATGCTAATACCAGATGCCGCGAGCTAAGCTAAAATAAACGAGTAAACGATTGTTAGTAGGTATTAGATCGTATGATATAGAAACGAGTCCTGGTTTTACTTACTTAGTCTGTCTCATGGATGCTCAATTTAGATACTTCTTGGCCGCGTCAATTTACAACCAAACATTTAAACCTTCCAAATATTAAAACGAAACTTAATAATTATTATGTAATATAATGCAACGAATACTTTATATCCGCTATCTTGAATAGTTGATAAAGAGATGGATCAAATCAATTCGATAGAAAAAATGGCAAAAAACCTAATTTTTCTAAATGGAAAGACACACTTTTATTTTTAAAAATTGATGTTTCTACACTGAAAAAAAAGGCACTTTGTAATTACATCAATGTCTTAATAGTAATTAAGGTACTAAGGACGTTATGAATCAAATAACGCACAAGGTCGCCATGAGTATATCCCGAGGGCCTTCGGTCTTAAAGAGATGTTCCCCTTCCCCCACCATTCATATTTTATTGACTGGAGCAATATGTGCTGCATCAAAATGCTGCAAGATTGCGATGCATGTATTTATTATGCATGTTTGTTGGGTATATCTTAGGTAAAAACCGCTCTAGCGGCAAACCTAGAAATATAAAAATAATTTCCAGTGATTAACGGTTTCATAAATATGGCCTGTGACCTTTATTAATAGGACACCCTGTACAAATAAGTTCGACAAAAATGGCATGCTGCTTTTTAACAGACACGCTCATTATTAATGGTTGTACGACGACATCTTGTATTCTTATTCGATTGGTGTTCAACGAATGCACATGTGTAGGCTTGGTTCTAACTTTGACATCTCATGCGCAGCACCATAAGTGGGGATATATACAGGGGCAGGCGAAATAGCATACAGGGTGTGCTAAGGATAATTTCAAATATATAACTAAAGAAACGAATTCTAAATTGAGGACGCAACAGTAGGTAAACCTTATCAACTTTGTTCCTGTAAAGTTGGCATAAAACTGGAAACGTAAAATAAAGCAAAAAACAAGAAGCAAAGGGCAATAGTTATATACGTCATAAGGTTGTAATAGTGCGTAAGTATTACAGGTGAGTAGAAAAATTGCGCACGAGTCAGCAAAGCAGCAGATTGCGGTAATTCTACGAACCTGTAATACGCAAAGTACAACCGAATTACGTAAAATACTTTTTCTACGACCCCCCGTAAATTTCGACATGAAAATAAGGCAAAATCCAAAACGACATCTGTTGACAGTTTCGGCATTTGTAACTATAATAATTATCACTTCCAAACGTACATGATCTATCTATTCTAATCTTTTTTATTACGCACGGGTGAAGGTATACTACCTATATCGTGCTTCTAAATAATACGTTATGACCTTATTTTCAGGGAGGTCGTAGAAAACCCTTAACCATATATGTTATAATATGTATGATCTAAGAGAAAACGTAAATAACGTAAAGCGTATAAACTGTCACAACATTAGTAGGGTATGCACGAAATCTACCGCGTCGTTTCGGAGGCTTTCTATTGGCCAGTTTGAATTATTTCAAAATTACTTCGCATCAGAGTTGGACTGGGTCACTGGGTCACCTGGGTCACTAAATTAAACTGGGTCGCTGGGTCACGTCATACTCTTTCCAGTTAGACCCAGTGACCCAGTTTGACCCATTGACCCAGTTTGACCCAGTGACCCAACTTGACCCAGTTTGAACCAGTGACCCAGTTTGACCCAGTGACCCAGTTTGACCCAGTGACCCAGTTTGACCCAGCGACCCAATTTCACCCGGGGACCCAATTCGACCCAGTCACCTAGTTTGATCGAATAACGCAGTTAAGTCAGTGCCCTCGGTTCAAGTGTACAGATTATGAAATAAATGAAATGCTGGTTTGTTGAAAATTCCATGTCCCAAATTGTATTAGAATACTGTTATTTCTTTGCTTCAAGGCTTACCAGTTTGCTTACAGGTGTTCATTCACATTTAATTTTTTTCTACTAGTTAGCTTAATCCAAATAAACCTTTTCTCTAAATACTTTCATTGACTACTTGACTACAAACTGTAAACAAATGCATTTGATTTTTTTAGGTATTAGTTCTCTTGAATGACATTGGGCTACGTGCTTGTTGCCGAATATTATTGAGGAAGTTTTTTTTTAAATTAAAAGTTACTTGAAATTGTTTTAGATGATACCTAACAATAATTTAATTACTGGGCCACCGAGTCAAGACGGGTCACTGAGTAAAGCTGGGTCAAGATGAGTCACTGGGTCAAGCTGGGTCACCGGGTCAAGCTGGGTCACCGGGTCAAGCTGGGTCACCGGGTCAAGCTGGGTCACTGGGTCAAGCTGGGTCACCGGGTCAAACTGGGTCACCGGGTCAAGCTGGGTCAAGCTGGGTCACTGGGTCAGTAAACTAACTGGGTCACCGGGTCACTGGGTCACTCTATGCTTGACCCAGTCCAACTCTGCTTCGCATATCTATATTCTGAGCTTGGTGGCACTGTACACTGTACGGTACACCTCGAGTAAAAGTAAAACTAATGCTAAATCCTCGGCTAAATGGTACTCTAATGAAAGGTCTCAACGGAAGGAATTAATTTCTACCAACCCGAGCCCTGCTCTTCGACTTCTTATCGTGATCGGGTATATTCTTATACCTCAAGAACGGCTTGTCGGAAGAGGGTACTCACAAAGGGCGATTGAGACGTCTGCAAGAAATCTATCCATTGGTGATGTCAAAACAAAAGCTATTTCGGTTAAAAAATACGCTTTATCTCGCGTTATCTGCACAACTGCACAATTTATACTTGTTTAAAATTGATTTCCTACTTCAATTACAAATTCTATCTAACACAAGTTATTTAACAGGCGGCTAGTCTCCAATGAAATTCTACTACCCTTACTTTAAGAAAAAAGAAAGTACTTACATCTCTCACATTTGTGTATGACGAGTATTGGAAACTTAAATTCTATATGGCCACGTTTCCTTTTACCTCCTAAGTATTTAAAACAATGAACAATAAAAAAATATGACAATTAAAAAAAAATACTACACACCTTATATCTAACCAAAATTGAACTCGTTTGAAGGAATATTCTCGTACTGAATCTTTTAACTTTTTTCCACTCTCAAATCTTTTTAGAAGTTAAATGGAAAAAGTTCGTATTGACCAATTTGGAAACAATTAAAGTAATTCATCAGATTTTAGAATTATTAACGAGCTCCTAAGCGAGTTCATGATTTCAGATTTTCTGTCCGTCCGTCCGTCTGTGTACATGATAACTTGCGAACGGTTTCGAATTTTCCAATTCTGTTTTCAGTAATATGTAGACAATGGTCAAGGGACTAACTGATTCAATTATGGTCATTTGGACTTTCTGTCCGTCCGTCTGGGTACATGTACTTCATACGCTTGTGTATATGATAACTCACGAAATATTTCGAATTTCACATTCTGTTTTCAGTATTATGTTTATCATCACCAAAGGAAGAACTGATTAAATTTTCAGTGTCCCAGGTGCTCGTTTGCTATATTTGTTTACAAATTTGTTTACATATACATTGTAATTTGTTTAATTGATGTCGAGATTGATGTATACTGGAATTTTACTGTGGTGTATTGGTCACAGTAGCAGTGATAAAATTACTCTCTTCAGCAAATTCATGTTAGATTGTTACCAAAAAGGTTACATTTTTGACGACTTCTGAGGGTTTTATACTAATTCTTAAATTACAAGCGTTCTGTGAAAGTAAGTAAAATCTAGCGTAGATTGTGCCGGTTGTGTCCCGTAATTATTATCCAAATCAAAATAGAATTAAGATCCGGTTGCTTATTAAATCCATGTGTGATTGTGTAACTTGAATATAGGATTAAAAGTTAAAATAAATCATATTATTTCTAGCTTTTTGTTGTGCAAGGTAAAGTTTGTATTAATCGGAAAAAATTGGTATAAAAATATTCGAGGTTATTTTAAACGTGCCGACTTTGTAACATCACAATAGTCTTGTGAATTCCGTTTCATAATAAAGTTATTATTATAGAATTGGCTCTTTATTTCAAATTACACAATTATTTTACTTGAAATTGACAGGTACATCTAGCGTTCACTATAGTCAATTGTATTTAAGTAAGTATATGTACCTGACAGACTACCACAATGCAAGTTCACTTTTGCCAACACTCATTTCCAGTTTGGCAGTGTGGGTTTATTTTTACCCCTTTTGTTTCAAATTTGCGCGAACGAAGTGCTATTAATCATGTGAAGCTTTTACTTCTTCGCCACCAGTATGATTTGCACTAATGGTGTGTGT